CACTTTGTTCCTTCTGATGACGACGAACGTGTCGTCGACGTATCTGGCCCAGGACTTCGGGGAAAAGGAGCTGAAGACCAGCCGCTCGAGCCTCTACAAAACAGGTTCAACAATAAGGCCAGAAAGAGGCGAGCCCATCGGTGTCCCCGTCTTTTGTTCGTAAACTTGGCCATTGAATTGAAGGATGTTTTCAGACACAAAACCAGGAGCTCAATGATATCCACTTGCTTGAGTTTTTGGTCGATTTCATCGTATTACTCTTGGAGAAGACCGTCAAGCGTGTCGATGGCCAGACTGGGTGGAATAGATGTAAACAAGGAGATCACGTCAAACGACACTATCACCTCGTCTGCCTTCACTTCCAAGTGTTGGATGCGGGTCAAAAATTCCTTAGCAGACCTCACCATCCACTCTGAATCCTTGGTAAGTAAGCACAGCCGCTGGTACAGCCACTTTGACAAACCGAAAGTTGGAGTGCCACGTAGAGATACGATGGGACATAAGGGCACCCCTGGCTTGTGCACCTTTCGTAGGCTATAGAAACGTGCCATTGCCGCATCTGTGGCCTTTGCAGTCGGCGCTTCCCTTCTCGTCAGGTCTCCTGTCTTCCTCAAATTTTCAATCGTCCTATTAATGGTGTTTTTGAGTTTATTGAACTTGCTGTCAGTCGATGTGACATACGAATCCTCGTCCATTAACAGATTATTTACCTTCGCACAGTAAGTGCTGTAATAAAGCAGAAATACGACGTTGATAATCACAGCTGCGTGTGAGCAACTGTATGAACAACAGAAGTCTGATTCACAAGGGGCAATCATTCAAAAATAATGGTCAACTATATTTGTTAAGTACGATGAACAGAGAAACAAAGCCGTGAAAAAAACATATAAGGGAAATCAGACGCAGAGTTCAGCAAACTCCTGACTTTAAAAAAGGAGCAAAAAATGGATTTTCTCATTTATATGAACTTATATTGATATGATGCAGTAAGATGGAATCATGATGTTGATGAGAACATGCGAGGAATCTGAAAGTATCTTTTCGTGGGCGTTAGCATATATCATAATGCGGGTGAGACAGGAGAAACTAATCGCGGCAAACGGGCTCAGCGGGGACAACAGGGTCGAACCAATGAGGGGACAGTAGATGCTACGAGAACATAACCGAACTGTTGAAATGCGATCGAGCAGACTGCAGAGTCCACGGACAAGTTAGCGAAAAAATAAGAACCCGTGATGATCATCCACAGAGACCTCGATAATCACCGTCAGGGTTGCCCAAAGGAGAAAAGTTAGCGGCTTTTGGACATGAGGCTTGACTCTGCAAAGGATAATGCAAGCATATAAAGAAAACAATTTAATACCATGAGAAGAGAAGCAAATGCCAGGAGGACCCCTTTCAAGGTCCAAACGTTTCGTGCCTGGGATGGGAACGGACAGTAAGGACTGAATATCTTCCACATTTAAATGAAGTGACAGTCTGATTTTCGGCATGTCGGCTGTAGCAGTAGTATTAGTAGTAAAAGTGGAATTTGCTAAGGGTAACAATCTGCCCTCATGGAGGTGTCACAAGAAGGAATGCGCGATCAAAACGGCTCCAACGCCTATGCTAGATTTATGTTCATAGCAGAGACTATCGGTGCTGCAGCAAAGGTTGGAGCGCCGACATCCTCGTAGACATCTTACTCACTTGTGTCGCAATTTTTTTTCCTACTTATGGATGGACGCACGTGGATTAAGCTGCTGCCTTGGAGCTCACTGTCGAGTCCCGCCAGCATCCTCACAGGGTTTAGCAGACTTGCAGGATAGGAGGCACCATAGTGATACCGACAAGGATAAGGTATGCTGGAGTGGTAATTTATAGTTTCC